GTTTCAATAGGGAAACAAGTCAGTCCTCTTATTAAACTTGTTTCATTCTAAAACCTAACATTAAAGGCAAACTAGAGAATTATTGCAGTTTCTTCCTGCAAAGCTAAATAGAATGATTTATTTTTCCAGAAGCCTGTCTGAAAAAAATAGTTCTTGTTTTCTTCTTACAGTCCTATTTTCTATACATTAATTATCATAGGAAATAATTAAAACTGGCAGCAACTATAATTCATATTCCAAAAATAAATCTTGCCCAGGATAAAAGTAAATATGAGACTTGAGAATATTACATACTACCCTAAAGCTCAAAACTATCAAATTCTTAAGTCTGGAAAAGGATTATTTAACACACAGAATATTTTTGGAAGGCCCCCTAAGAAACCTACCAATGAATGAACTAGGTGAAACGGAGACAATGAGAAAAGACATACTTTTCACTTAATATCCTTTTGTACCTTTTGAAATTTGAGCCATGTGCAGCTCAAATGTATGTATTTGTTATTTTATTAATTTGTTATAAATCACTGAGGGACTCTACAGAATTCTTCCTTTTCTTCCTTTTTTTTTTTTTTTAAGATTTTCTTATTTATTTTTAGAGAAAGGGGAAGGGAGGGTAAAAGAGGAGAGAAACATCATTGTGTGGTTACCTCTCACATTCCCCCAAACAGGCACGTGGCCGTAACCTAGGCAGTGCCCTGCCTAGAAATCAAAGCGGGGACCCTTTGTTGTGCAGGCCGGTGCTCAATCCACTGAGCCACGCCAGCCAGGGCAGATCCCCTCATTTTCCAGAGGGGATAACTGAAGCCAAAGAAGGAGATGAGCTGCTCAAGCTCACACTGCTGGAGACAGAAAAGCTGGGTCTAGAGCTCAGGAACCCAGTAGAAGCTCCCAGTGTTTCCCAACCCTTACTACAATGCCATGTGTTAAAACAGCAAGTGCCATCTTATACAAAATAAAGCAATCCTACAATTCTTTTCAGAACTGTGGTCCTCTAGAGACCCATGACTCTAGAGCCTAGAGAGGTTCTAAGGCAAAGGGACAGAGATTCATACCAAATACAGAGTAAATAAAGACAGCAGCACATCAATCAGCATGTGGATACTGTGTCTTCTCTTATTAAGCTTAATCAGGCCTGGAAATGTTGCAGCTTTCATTCTTACTAACACTAAGGATGTCTGATGAAGCAGAATAGAATTACTAGTACAAAGAGCTTATTCCTAGTGAATTGACTCAGAAGAAATAAAGCATAAGCGGAAGACAGGAAATTCGAATTTGAAAGAAGCCTTAATTCCACTGTGGAACTATTCTCAAATAGGAAAATAATGAATTATCAAGACCCCTACTAGTCCTAAAATCCACAAAGAAAAAGAAGCAAGGCAGTTTCAACTCCTTCCCTGAGCAATTCAAGCATACTTTTCTTCTTGGTAAGAAAAAAACCACCTTTTCTTTCAATGGGCACAAATGCAAGAAAACAGCAGAGTTTCCATAGTTAGGAATAAGAGAAGCCAGAAATGAATACTATTCCAAAAATGTCTGTCTGCTTAGACAGAAGGATCTTGAAAGGAAATTTATTCTTTCCTTTATAGGTCTGTAGGTAACCTTTACAACTGGAGAAATACATATATATGTTAGACATTAGGCCTTTACCTTTTGATATTTGCCAAACATACTATAGTAATGTATTAGTTAATCTAAGTATTTTAAAGCACTGGGTAAGTCTGCCAACAACTAGTTGATCTGGGGGGAGGGGTATAAGGGGACTAAATGGTAATGGAAAAAAATAGAATAAAAAGCCCTGGCCGGTGTGGCTCAGTGGATTGAATTCCAGCCTGTGAACCAAAGGGTTACTGGTTCAATTCCCAGTCAGGGCACATGCCTGGGTTGCGGGCCAGGTTCCCGGTGCAGGGCACATGAGAGGCAACCACACACTAATGTTTCTCTCCCTCTCCTTCTCCCTCCCTTCCTTTCTCTCTAAAATAAATAAATAAAATCTTTTAAAAAAGAATACAATATAAACAACAACAACAACAACAACAACAATTAGTTGACCTGATGAAACATTTAAAAAAGGAAGAACATGAAACAGGATAATAAGCCTGGCCAAGACTTAACCTCCAGCCACTACTACTGCCCATATTTTTGAAGAGAAAACATGGCGTATGGAGAAACCACAGATGAAGAGTATCTTAGTCAGCTATGGGTCACAAGGTCACATCACCTTGAGAAGTTTCTCTCACCACATCTTCCATTCTAGATCAGGAACAAAAGGCCAAAGAGAGCTCAAATTCTAGCACTAGCCAACCACTGTCATCTCTAGGGAATTTATAATAGCAAATGCCTGGCCTCATCAAAAGTCCTCAGAATGTTGATTGAAATTCCAGCTCCAATTTTCACTAAACATTTCAGACATAGGAAAAATATTTGAAGTTTGTTAATTTTTCTACTTTGTTGAAAATAATCGCCTCATAGTAAAACAGTCCCATAGTTCAAAAAAGAAAAAAATTACAGAAAACATAAAGGTGAGATGTTCTACTTCACACTAAAAGGTATTAATGCCAGGCCTGACCAGTGTGTTTAAGTTGGTTGGGCGTCTCTGCAAAGTGAAAGGTCTCCAGTTGGATTCCTGGCAGGGGCACCTGCCTTGGTTGCAGGTTCAGCCTGGCTGGGCGTATATGAGAGGCAACCATTGATGTTTCTCTCTCACATGGACGTTTCTCTCCCTCTTTTCCCCTCCCTTTTGAGAGGGAAGGGAAGGAGAGGGGAGGGGAGGGGAAGGGAAAGAAAGGGGAAGGGAAGGGGGAAAGGAAGGGGGAAGGGAAAGGGGAAGGGGAGGAGGAGAGGGAAGGGAAGGGAAGGGAAGGGAAGGGGGAAAGGAAGGGGGAAGGGGAAGGGGAGGAGGAGAGGGAAGGGAAGGGAAGGGAAGGGGGAAGGGACGGGGAAGGGGAAGGGAAGGGAAGGGAAGGGAAGGGAAGGGAAGGGAAGGGAAGGGAAGGGTGAAGAGAAGGGGAGGGGAGGGGGAAGAGAAGGGGAGGGGATGGGGAAGAGAAGGGGAGGGGAGGGGGAAGAGAAGGGGAGGGAGGGGGAAGAGAAGGGGAGGGGAGGGGGAAGAGAAGGGGAGGGGAAGGGGAAGAGAAGGGGAGGAGAAGGGAGGGGAGGGGGAAGAGAAGGAAAGGGGAGGGGAGGGGAGGGAGAAGGGAAGGGAAGGGAAGGGGAGGGGAGGGGAGGGGAGGGGAGGGGAGGGGAGGGGAGGGGAGGGAGGGGAGGGGAGGGGAAAGGGGAAAGGAAAGTAGTAATGCCAAAAACTCGCCCTGGCTGGGTTGCTCAGTTGGTTGGAGCATCTGCCCGTGCAGCAAAAGGTTGTGGGTTCATTCCCTATCAGGGCACATACCGAGGTCATGGGTTACCCCAGCGGTGGCAGGTACTGGGAAGAAACCAACTGATGTTTCTCTCTCCCTCCTCTCCCCCGCTACCTCTCTAAAATCAAGGAACATATTTTTGTTTAGGTGAGTTTTTGTTGTTGTTGTTTTTTAAACCTCTATCCATTATTTCATGAAAAACATTAAACACACAACCTGGAGCCAAAAAAAAAAAAAACCAAACAAGATACATTCCACTCCATCTCAACAGCAAATGAGTTAAACAGTAATAGAGGCTGCACTAATATTACCTAGGGCAGGAGAAACATTTGGTGACTCACACAGTCCCCTTTGGTGTCAATTTCTAAGTTAAAGAGCTGGTTTCTTTGAGGGAAAAAATGGAAAGGAAAACTTTAAACTTATCCTTTCAAACTTCAGATACAATAAATTAACCATTCTCAATTTCGAAGTCAATTCCCCCCCCCCACAAAATCATGAGTCATATCAAACATCTGGTACCCATGAAATTTAATGCCTTAAATTTATTCAGTTAAGATGTATTGAGTGCCCACTACTGAACAAATAACCATCTGAACTTAACGAAGACGCTCAATTTTAACATCACCTCCTCCTAGCACTTCCATATTTATGTGTGTAAATGTAGATTATTTTTCTGTCGACTTTGAAAAAAAGTGCAGTTAGCAAATTTCACTAAGCACAGTTATCACACAAAGAAACTCTAACGAAAGAGGAAAATGGGTAGCTCCCTCTGGCAATGTTTTTAAATGGTTTAGAATTGTTCACATCTCTACTAAATATCAGACTAAGTTCTTACGCGCTAAATGTTTATTTGCTGTGCTATGGAATAAAAATTGAGAAATGCAGTTGGCATGTATGATTTAAATTTTCAGACAATGCCAAAGTTTAAAGTCAATAATTTCACGCCGCTCCTCATTACCTTTACCCTAACCGGGCAAACAAGGGATTGACAGGCTGAGATTTCGGATGTTTTATTTCTGGCGGAGCAGAAAAAGGGACATGGGCCAGAAAGAGGAGCACCAAAAAAAGGGGTAAAAAGGGGGTATGGTTAATGTTGCAAATAAGACAGCCAATCCTGCATAAGAGACAATTACTATAAAGCGGACAGAAGCAAAAGAACACTTTTGCACTTTCAGCCCTTTGATTCTGTTCCAGAATTCAGCACTGCCTGGCAAAAGCAATGGCATTAGAGCAAATTATGAGATACTGCCACAACTTTCCGCTTCGTCGTCCTGGAGAAAGACTTCATCTAATCTGTCATTACATTCCCGGGTCATGCGTGAGAAGCAGTGCTAACGCGTTTTGCGACAGCGAGGCCCACAGAGGGCAAGGCAAGCTCGCAACGAAAATTCCAAGAGTTTCCCAAGCAGAGACTGAACGCCAAGTCCCTGCTACCACTACAGAAGGCAGAGCCGCCTCTCCCCACCGCCGCCCTGGGAAAACGGGGTTGCCCTAGGCAGAGGGGTGAGGAGACTCCAAATCAGCCCCGCCCTCCCCGACCTGAGCCCACCTCCCTTTCCCTCAGAGACCGCAGAGAGGACTGCACTGTCCACCTTTGGCCCTCCGCCCTGCTCAAAACGACACCAGCCATCACCTCTCTCTCACCTGTCCTCGCGAGGTCCGAGTCGGCAGCGCGACGCCTCCATGCCCGCCTCTCAGAAACTAGCCAACTCGTCCAGACTCCTGATTTCGCTGCTAGGGTGGCAAGCCTGGCGCGCTGCCGGGCCCCGCCCCTGGCAACCGCACCCAGTACTGTCGCCACCGTCTATTGGTCAGGTCCCAGCCGCTCCTCTCTAATTGGCTCTTACTGTCGCCCGCCGTTGGGGGAGGGTTTCTAAGGGGCGGAGGAACCTGGAATTAGAGGCGCCTGCGCCGAAGCAGAGATGACGCGCCGGGGCTGAATGTCTGGACCACAGCAGCCGCAGGGGCCAGCGGTGTTGGATCCCAGCCATTTGGGAAGCGACTCCGTCAGAGGATCCGCCCAGCCCCCACTAACCCCACAAACTGAGCGGCCTCCTCTCACTCAAACGGTTTGTACAGAGACCACCCAGAGCCCTTCCCGAGGTCTGTAATGTTAATCAGGACTTACAGACCTCTGCCGACTCGCTCACGCCCAACCCTTCCCGGACAAGAGACTTCCTGAGAACCACACTTGTAGCCTCTTCCAGCAGTCATTCCCAATGAAGTGCATCTGCTTTCGCACTGGGACCACGCAGAATTCCTCCAGCCTCCCGATTGCAGCCCAACCTTTCAGAGCATTCCTAGACCTGCTGTACAGACTCTTTTAAGAATCTTTACTATTTACCTCTCTCTACAGCCCATGGAACATTTTCAAATAACCAATTACCTTAAGGAAATTCGCTATGTAAATCTGTACTCTTGTTTCCAATAAATCTTGTCCCCCACCATCACGTCCTTTCTCACTACCAACTTACATTATAATCACGTCCTTTCTCACTACCAACTTACATTATAATCCCTTAAAAAGTCCTTCAAGTTATCATACACAGTTTAGTTCATAGCATTCCAAGGTCCACATTAGTTTCCACATTAGTTTTGAATTTTTCTTTTTTTAAGTCCTCGTCCGAAGACACTTTTCCATTGCTTTGAGAGAGAAACATCAATGAGAAAGAGAAGCATGGATCAGTTCCATAAACATCAGTACTGGGGATGGAACTCACAACCTAGGCATTTGCCCTGGCCAGGAATCGAACCTGCAACCCTTAGGCTACAGGTCGATGCTCCAAATGAGCCACACCAGCTAGGGCTGGTTTTGAAGTTCTAAGAGGCCTAAAACTTGACCCAAGCTAGGAGAACAGAGCATTGCACTGTCTGGGTCAGCCTCTGCTCACTGTGTGACTCTAAACAAGGTTCATTATCTGGGCTTCAAATTCCCATCTATAAAATAAACAATAATCCTTGCTTGTCCAGCTTGGCCTGAACGTGACACAGAAATAGGTTCTTAAATCTAAGTGAATGGAGTTGAATGAGATGCTATTTGTATTGGTGAAAGGACAATGAAGGTATTTTGTTGACTGGGCAGCCCTACATTAATTACAGTAAGTAGTATTCTCTGAAGTTTCCACATTTATTTACACACACCTTAAACAGTTACTCCAAGAAATCATTTTGCCATCCTTAGTGTTTATAGATTTCTTTGGTTGGAAATAAAAGATCAAAACACAGCAAACCTAAGTAACTTACCCATGGCCCCTTTATCTCCTAGATTCTACTATAGTCACTAAAACAGGCCTTGCTGCCCTTTCTTCGTCTTGCCTTTCACCCAAAGAGCCAAGGTTGTACAGATGGCAGCTCAACTATAAAGTCAGAGTTTGCTTTGCTTTGCTTTTTTCCATCCATTGTGTCATAGAGGAAGCTGCCACTGAGCTTAACAGAGTTGACACTCAAAAATGCAGAATGAATTAGTTTGAATGAGGCAATTAAAAGATTTAGTGGTTAAAGCAAACAAGAACTTTAGTGGAGGGGATAATGTTGCTGCATTATTGGCAAGCAGGGTTCTTTTAAAACTTTCTGTAACCATTTATTTACACACATCTTAAACAGTACAAGATATTTTAAAAGTTTTAACAGTTAATACAAGAATAATACAAAGTGAACTGTTTATGACACTAAAATCTGTTTATATTTTAAAAAGCAAATCTGGGAACTGAATTCCCTTAAAACTTGAGGACTCTTGTTAAAATGCCTTTTTTCTATTGATGTTATTGGTGTTATTTTTACTTTATTCTATTGACATACTCTTCTGTGAGCCAGAAAAGTGACTTTAGCAACTGTATGAAAACCAGCAATCAATTTCCTGAGATTACTCATGTCGGAGAAATCCCATCAGTTTTTCACAAGGAACTGGCTTTTGTTCAGCTTCCCTCTCTCCCTGAGGTAAGTAAACAGGTGCTGTCGTCTCCTCCATGTGACCTTTACACCGTACTTCTCCTCAGGAGTGTCTTTAACCAGAACAGGCCCAGGCTCTGGGCTCTCAGGAGTACTAGGGTGAAGGGAGCAGCTTGGTAGGCTGTTTTCCCCCTGATCTGGCGCAACAGGCACCTGCTTCACAGAAGATGACTCTGGGGTCTGGATATCAGGTGCAATGAACATGTAAGGTAAGTTTTGAAGTGCATGTGCTGACAGCTCCCCACAGCTTTGGGGACTGAGCATTGGAACTAACGCCCTTCTGGAAATGTCCTTTTCTGAATGATTGGGACACTCCCGGATTAAGGGGCTTCCAAGTGTGGTTGAACTGGAAGAAGGCTGTGGACTCTCAAATGTTAGATGTGGAAACTTGGAGGTGGTAGATTTTCGACTTGAATGTCTCGCCTGGTCTTGATGATTACATTTGCGTCTCCTCTTGGCTAGCAACCAGCTTTCTGCTGTTGTATCAAACTGAGGTAATACCTAAGGATTAAAAAAAGGGGAAAAATAAAAGTAAGAATATAAACCCAACCTATTGGGGTGGCCAAAAAGTGTGCTTAGTTTTTTTTCATAAAATAAAAGACACATTTTTCATTTTCACCAATAACTTTATTGATTTGGATATTTTGAGTATGTAGGCAATCTCCCACATGGTAGAATGTTGATTGTTCTCAATTAATGCCTCAATTTGCTAGCTCTCAACTTCAACTGGTCTACCCGACCATGGAGCATCACCCAGCAAGAAATCTCCAGCATGGAACTTCTCAAACCACTTTTGACACATTCAGTCACAGCACTGTCTCCATACACTGCACAAATCTTTTTTTGTGTTTCAGTTGTGTTTTTACCTTTCTTGAAATAATAAAGCATAATACGCTGAAAATGTTGCATATTTTCTTCCATCTTCAATATTTAAAAGGCTACAGAAAAATTTACCAATTTTAATAAATTTAAAACGCACACTGATATGACAGCTGTCACAATATGATCTAACAAAATTGTTTTGAGTGAAATTAAGGACAACTAAGTACTATTAGAGCCATCATATGGAAAAAACTAGATGAAGTTTTTAGCCAATCCAAAATATACAATGACCAGACACAAGAATCCTAAATGAGACCCACTATTGTAAGGGACACAAAACAAAAATACCTGTCTAATGGGATATTAATAGAAATGGACATGAGCTTTGGGCAACCTAGTCAATCTCTCTGGCTTTCGGTTTCCTCATATGTAAGAAAGGGGACAATGCCTCTTTCTTTATCACACCGTAGATCTGCAACTAGTTGAACTATCTTTAAACTTTGAGGGCAGCTGTCCTCCTTACCACTGATTGCAGCACCTAACAGAATGCCTGCACAAAGCTCCTGTCCCGTCCACACCCTCCCCCCCAACCCCGTTAAGAATGAATGACTGAATGCAAGAATAGGGAGATCGTGGATGGAGAGCAGGTAGCACAGGACATGGCATACAATGAGTTCTCAATAAATGTTCATCTCTCTTCTCTTCCCAAGGATCCCAACATTTAAGTTTCATCTGCAACCATGAAGCAAGTATTAATGGTGGTTCTCCGCAATCCTGAACAAATTATATTTATTAAGCACTCCTAAGCCGATTTTATGCTTTGTGTCTGGTCCCTTTGCTATAGTACTTCTCAGACATGTAGTAGCTATATTCTCTTCCCAGGGCTTTTAAGCTGTCAAAACATGACATATACCGTTTCTGTGGAAATTTCGAGGTTCAATCTATTACAGTTAATACAGTACTCGACTAAATACCTCTTCCATGAAGCTCAGGAAACTCATTTTTTACTAGTTCTGCCATTTATCTGGCTTTCTCACCCAGCTACTGTATGAGATAGTGAAACTTTTATATTAAACTCTTTCAGATAAATGGGGGGGCAAAGGAGTGGGAGACTCCAATTCCAACCAACCCAAGTTGAACTTTCCTAACTTTTCAGTTTGAACTTAGAAAAAGAAGATATACAAGAAGAGATAGCTGACAACAGATAGAAAGAGTATATTGCCTCCTTGTCCCTGCCCCTATGAATTGGTTCATGGGGCAGAAGAGTCAATATTCTGAGTTGCCTAACAGTAAAAGTCAAAGAAAGAATCCCATGGCCTACCCAGGAAGTGATGGTGTTGTGATCAATGGGCTTGCTGGGCACCTGTCTAGTGTGGGTGATGGGAAGCTGCGGCGATCCATACTGGTGTTTGGGGCCCTCCAGTGGCTGTTGGAGGAACTGCAGTTGGGTTTTCTGGGACGTTTGTCGGCGTTTTTTTCTGGGAGGCATCAATAGGTGAGTGAAGAGCAGTTAGTAACCACATGGTGCTGGTTGTAGTCAGGTACCGGGCGAGGCTCCAATTCCAACCCATGCCTGCAGAGAAGAAACAAAAGTTCTTCCTCATGCTCTGTCAGCCAGGTCTATTCTAAACTTAGCACTCTACCAAAAGCTGTGGGGAGTGTACCTCCCTAACCTACACCATCAAGTTAAAACACAGTAGTTTACATCCAACAACTGTTCAATGAACACTTTTTGAGTATGTGTTTGGAACTTAAAAATTTTAAATCATTTATTCTATGATATCATTTATTGAGTGCCAAGCACTTGTAGGGACACAGAGGTCAGACTGTCTCTGTTTCAAAGAGCTGAGAGTCCAACAGCAGGAGAGACAATGACAATAATGGGACCAAGGCTTCCACTCCAGGGGAGCCTTTCTGGAGAGGGTGACACCTAACCTGTCTATGAAGGGCAAGAGAAAGTCAAAGAGCAGGGCAGGCACTCCAGGCTAAGGATCAGCACATACAAAGCACAAAGACATGAAGGAGCGTATGAATTCAGGGAATCACAGACCACATGTAGCTGGACACGGGGTATGGAAAGATGAATGACAAAAACTGAGGCTGAACATGGTGTCAGGGTTAGTTCAGAAAAACCTTGCCCTGGCTGGTGTGGCTCAGTGGACTGAGTGCTGGCCTGTGAACAAAAGAGTCGCTGGCTCGACAAAAGAGTTACCGGTTCGATTCCCAGTCTGAACACATGCCTGGGTTGTGGGCCAGATCCCCAGTAGGGGTTGCATGAGAGGCAACCACACACTGATATTTCTCTCCCTCTCTTTCTCTCTGCCTTCCCCTCTCTCTGAAAATAAATAAAAATCTTTAAAGAAAAACCAGGTGTATCGTAACAGTTCAGGTTTTAGCCTAAGTAGTCAGTGAAGAATTTCAAGCAAATCCTTGCTTAAAAAAGTGTGATATGATCACACTTGGATTTTTCTTAGCTTTTCACCCCAGATAATTCTGAACATATACAAAAATAGACTAAATAATATAATGAGCCTACCCATCACCCAGATCCAACAATGATCAACTCATGGCCAATTGTGACCTATCCACACCCCCTACCTCTGTATTATTTGAAGAAAATATTATATTCCCAGTCATTATTTCATTACCATTAACACAACATATATATGTGTATGTATATATATATATTCCTTAATATTATCAAGCATTCAGTGAAGTTCAAAATTTCAATTGTCTTATATATATCATAATTATTTTTTGTTTGCTTTTTGTCTTTTAGGCAGATCACCCTGGCAACAGTGTGAAAAGAAAAAACAAGTACCCTGGAAGTAGGAGGACCAGGAGGAAGTAGGAGGACCCTTTAGGAAGGGGCTGTGTAACCTAAGAGAAAAACACTGAGGCCTGAACCTGGGCTGTCAGTAGAGATGCGAGGCTGGAGACAAAGGCAGGGACAACAGGACCCAGAAAATAATAAAAAGTCTGAAAAAGTATCCACTGAATTGAGTAACCAAATCAACTTTAATAAGAGCTTCATCAATGTAACAGTGGGACAGAAGTTTGAATGCAATAGGTAGAGATGTAAATTGGAGGTGCAGCTGAGCATCCTAGACCTAGAAAGCCACACAACAGGGTAAATTGGTTCTACTATACCTTCATGATTCTTTTGGTCAACAACAACAAAAATAACATACTCTGACTTAGGTCACTAGGCAGTGGAGATACAGGTAAAGAAAATAAGAGGGAGAAAGTCTCTGCCCTCAAGAAACTAACATTTTAAGGACCAACACAGGTAATAAATATACCTATTTGTTCATTTACTCATTCAATAAATATTTACTGGGTGCCTACTGTGCTAGACTGTTCCAGGCGCTATAAATATATACCGGAGAATAAAATTGAATGCCTGCTCTATGGCACTTAAAGCTGACTGCTATTTTAGACAAGGTTGTCGGGGAAAGCGCATCTGAAAAAGTGGTATTTGAGCAAAGACCTGAATGAAAAAAGGAGAACAAGCAAATAGAAAGATGTGAGCAAAGAATAGCCCAGGCAGAGAAAATGATAGGTGCAAAGATCACAAGATGGGAATATGTCTGACTCTTTCAAGAAGCTGTAATATAAGCAGAGCTGAACTGGAGAGTGGTAGGAGACAAGAAGCAGTCCATGTGAAACTGGACTTTATAGGCAAGGTTAAGGACTCTGGATTTAATTATTCCTAATGTGATAGGAAGCCACTGAAAGGTTCTGGATAGAGGAGTGACATAAACTGATTTACGCTTTTAAAAGTTAACTTGAGCCCTGGCCAAATGGCTCAATTGGTTGGAGCATTGTCCCATGCACCAAAAAAGGTCGCAGGTTTGACTTCCAGTCAGGGCACACACCTACGCTGCAGGTTCAATCCCCAGTCCAGCGCATATAGGAGGCAACCAGTGATTCTTCTCTCTAGCATCAATGTTGCTCTCTCTCCCTTCCTCTCACTTAAAAGCAATAAAGAAAATGTCCTCGGGTGAGGGTTAAAAAAATTTTAAATAAATATGTTCTCAGGTGAAGATTTAAAAGAAGTTTAGTGGAGGCGCTTTGTGAGAAAAGGTGGGTTGGGGGGAGGGGTGAGAAGGGAAGCAGGAATCCAGTGAGTGGTAGGCTATCCTGCAGGAGTCCAGTGGAGAGATGACAGTGGTGGCAATGACTACAGTGAGAAGTGTTGAAATTAACTAGCCTCCAGCGGACACTATGTTCAGCAACAATCCTACTATATTTATGTATCAACTAATTTTCCACAAAGATTACCATAAAACTTTCCCACTCTCTTAAAACTTTAGAACTCTTCTTCTCTCTCAACAAATGGTCTATTTCCTACTGCACAAAGAATACATGAGACATCGAAGTTAATACATTTTCCAGAAATCATGCAAACTTGCATATATCTGCATCCGTCCTCTTTCTTCTGTAATTAGAGATCAAGTCCCTTTTGCTTTCTAAGGCCTTTTCCTCTAGCTGTGCTTTGGAGTCTTCCTCACACTCTACACCTTTTTCAGGCAATCATCTGCTCACATTTCAATAGCCATCTAGATGGAGATGATTTAACATATTTATATATTCAGTTTAGAACTCTCCACACTCAGGACCCATATATCCCACTGCCTATTTGACAGCAACTAGATGTCACAAATTCACTTCAAACTTAACAGGTTTAAAACTGAATTCATGATCATTTCCCTTGCACCCCCCGGCCACAAAAGTGATTATCTTCCAGGGGAATGGTATCATCATTCACCCAGTTATGCATCCAGAAACCCTGACATTTCCCTTTCCCTCTCCCAAACACCTCTTAAACATGTCTCCAATAATGCCCCTTTTATCCTCCATATCTCTCTCTCTCTCCTCTTCCCCCCTACCCCCCACCATTCAGGTCCAACAATTCTGGCTTGGATAACTGTAACAATAGCCTAACTGCTCTATCCTAATCTTACTCTGGCACCCCCTGCAGAGACCTTGTAAAAATGCACATCTGGCTCCACCTTAGCACCATCTTAGAAACCTCTGAATCCATTAGCGCCTAGTAGAGGAAGGAGGGAAGGCGCCAGCTGAAGTGCAAAAGAGGCACAAGTCCAAGTAAACCGCTAGCCTGTGCATCTGTGGAAGCCACAGGAGTAGACAGAAGGGAAGCCAGAGGCAGGGACACTGGTACGAAGTGTTGGACTGCATACCTACTAACTAGAACTTCTCAATGGATCTAGAACATACAAGCCTTCTGATTGCCCCCCCACCTTTTGAGAGATGCCCCCCCCCGCCCCCCCGCTATTACAAAACCAGTCCCTTTTGGTCCTTTGCCCTGGCCCTGTGACATTCTGGACTGGTTCTATTCTCAGTTGTGGATGAATGTAATGTATACAATAAATCATCTCTCTGCTTTGCTGAAGAAAAAGAAAATGCACAGCTGATCTTGATTCTCTGATGCTTAAAATTTTTGACTTTTGCATGAGGACCAACTGCTTAGTTTTGATAAGGTCCTGCTTTCTGTGGTTCCAGCTTCATCTCACACCACACTCCATTCAGGTCTCAGTTCAAACTCTTCAGAGATTCTCCACCCTCTGTACTCACCACACTCCCTCCTGCCACACAGCCTTTCACACCTTAATCCCGTTGCTTTGAGGGTTTCCTTCCCTGTTCTGCTTGAAGACATCAGATCTTACCAAGATTTAATCAGGAAAGGCTTTCCTAACCTACCTAAGGCAAGATCTCCTTATTGTAGATATTGAAAGCTATCACTGACCTCTAATTTATCACTTCACAGCTATACCCCTCCACCAGCTTTTTTGATTCTTCAAAAACCTCTGTGCTGCCCCTTTCCTCCCACTGGACCGTCAACTCAAACGTCCTCTACCATTGTATCCTAGCAGGGCCGGGCACGTAGTAGACCCTCAATAAAATTTGTTGACTAAGTTAATAAAGTACTTTAGTGTATATATAAAAAAAAATTGTCTTTGGTCGGGGAATGGGAGTAGATGAGACAGATCAGTATTTGAAGACTTGGAGCTGGGGTAAGGTGTACGGTTTGTAAAAAGCTGTTGGAAACTTGAGTAAGATTATATGCTGCCCACAGAGACTCTCAATCTGGTCAGGGGAAGTAGATGATTCTTCGGTTGTTGGTATATGGTATACAAGTTCCTCCAGTAGGGCAGTCAACCACGGTAAACTTCAAAAAGGTAGGAAGATCCCTAGGGAGGCGGGGAGGAGGGTCCCTGGAGTGATTAGGAGAGAGACAGCACCGCGCGAGGGAGAGCAGGACCACGGGGCCGCCCCAGGCGTCACCGTCGTCCCAGGTCCCCGCTGGCCCGCCCTCGGCGGAGCCTGTCCGGCGCCCTCCCAGCCTCCCACGGCCGATCCCTACCCACGAGCCAGCCCATCCGCCTTACCCGCCCGGCGGCGTCCCCGACCGCCGATACCCAGGCCGCGCCGCGTTCGACCCCGGAACGCTGAGACAGGGACCGGCGCCGATTGGCGACGCTCCGTCACGTGACCGCAACGCTCCGCCGGCGCCAATTTCAAACAGCGGAACAAACTGAAAGCTCCGGTGCCGGACCCCACCCACCCCCGGCCCCCGGCCTGGGACCCCCTCCCCTCCCGGGATCCCCCGGGATTCCCCACCCCTCCCGCACCGCCGGGGATCCGGCGGGCCTGGCGCGAGTCCCTCTCTGGCACCCTGGCTCGGCCCCCAGGTTGGAGGAGCCGGGAGCCCGCCCTAGGAGCCACAACCCAGCTGCGACGGCGACTGCAGTCGGGAGGTGAGTGGGAGCCTAGGAATGGAGGCTGAGGCCGGGTTTTGGCGCAGGCAGGGAGCAAGCTCTCGGGTGCCGCGGTCAGGGGGTCTTGCAGTAGGACGCAGGGCAAGAGTTGAGGTTTGGGGCCGCTCAGGAAGACGGTCTGAGCGAGGGTGCAAATTTTTCCTGCATCCAACCCTCTGGCCTGTCCTCATTTCTTTCTCAAAGCACTCCTAGGCTTTCCCTGGAAGTTTGACCTCTGCATCCTACCCGCAGCCTTGGGAGGTCTGAGGTGGCCTACTTTCCTAGGCAGACTGTGGCTGTGATAAAGATTGTGCTGACTCTGCATTAAGTCAAAGACCTGCCCACACATTCCTCTGCTTCCCGGTGCTCTCACCATTATACCACACTGCTTCCACTCCAGGGTTCCTGAGAACCGTGGTCAGGATAGGGGTGCATCAGAGGAATCACTCTAGAAGGCTCCTGGGCTTAAGTATTGGCAATGATAGGAGGAGGCTGGTCAGAGATTAGAAGGGACTATTAAGCCTTAGAAGATATCTTTGGGGGGTAGGGAGGGCATAATAGTATCTACTGATTGATGGGGGAGAGAGGAAGGCTTGATGACATAGGAGGAGGAAGTAAAACTGAGATTTGAAGGTAGAGGAAACCTAGATATAAAGGAAAGGGAGGAGTCAGAGTGGACAGGGCCTGAGACCTTGAAACAGATGACAAATGGCATGAGTGTGACAGTCATTTTTAGGGTGATATCAGATGTCCTAAAAAAGAGACAGCCCATTCCTTTGTCAAAGTATCTCTAAATAGGATTACACAATTTTACATAACGATAGAATATTCTATATATCTATTAAAATCAACAAATCACAAATTTTTAAAAAGATAAAACTCCCTTTTTTTTTAACATTACACAACCACCTTAGCATATTGATGACAGCACATTGCAAGTATAATAGCCTGTGAAATGAATGGCACTCATTTTTGTTATGCAGTGTACAGTCTCCTCAACTTTACCTTGAAGTGAGGAGCTTCCCTTTTACATGGCATCTTGTGAGCTGGGGATGGTTTCTTCAGTGGTATGGCAATAGTGCAATGGTACAATCTGCCTTTCTCCCCTGATTCAATTGGCACTGATCCTTTTATTTATAAACTAAGATGACATAAAATATAAAGGCTCTATCCTAGAATGGATTATGGGATTAGAGTCTTGTCAGGGTTCATAGTTACCAAATGCCCTCCTATCCCAGCATCCTTGTCCCTACAGTCACTGCAGGTGACCTGTATTTTAGTGGGCAATACTAGCCATTTCTACATTTTTGTAAGTGCCCCACTTGTTTCTGTAGCCAAACATTCCTAAGTGTCTGAAAGACCTTTATCTCTGCTGACCTGTGTTCAACCCAATCCGACTTTTCCCATTTGAGTTGCTTCAATTTGCTCCAGTTTTAGCTTTCTTTTATCAGTGGAATTTATCTCTCTGTTGTCTGAGATCTTTACAAAGGCCTAGGGAGCATTCACCTGGGCCTGTGGGCCCATGCTCCTGGTCAGAGGAAGAGGATCCCCTCTCTCTGACAGAACCTCCTTCTCATCCTAACAGTTCTCTGACATCCTACTGTTCCTTGCACTTTCCAGGGTCCATGCTTGTGATTCTCAATGGAGAGTGAAAGCACAGATTCATCATGAAAACCAGCCCCCGTCGGCCACTGATTCTCAAAAGACGGAGGCTGCCCCTTCCTGTTCAAAATGGCCCAGGCGAAACATCAGAGGAGGAGCCTAAGAAGCCCCCTGCCCAACAAGAGCCTGGTCAAACACAGGCCTCCAAGGAGGTGGCAGAGTCCACCTCTTGCAAGTTTCCAGCTGGGATAAAGATTATTAACCACCCCACCATGCCCAACACCCAAGTGGTGGTGATCCCCAACAATGCCAATATCCAGAGCATCATCACAGCATTGACCGCCAAAGGAAAAGAGAGTGGCAGCAGTGGACCCAACAAATTCATCCTCATCAGCTGTGGGGGAGCCCCCACTCACCCTCCAGGACCCCAGCCTCACGCCCAATCCAGCAATGATCACAAGAGGAGAGAAGTGATCACTGAGACCCTGGGACCAAAACCTGCAACTACAGATATGAATCTTCCTAGACCACCTGGAGCCCTTCTTGGGCAGAGATGGGAGAACTGCGGTATGTGATCTACAAGGCAAAAGGTTGAGGAGCTTAGCCTTTCCCTTTTGGTAGCAAGGACTGTTGCCATTGTAGTCATATTGATGCCTACAATGGACAGGCATGTACCCTGAACCAGGGGAAAGTCACCCTGAAACCTTGACCCAGATCCTTTGGTCACTGTCCAAAGGGTTGTAATTATTATTTATAACTCCTAATTGCCTTCTTTATATTGGAAAAAGATTTCTTTATTGTTTCTGTTTATCCTTCCCATTGACTGTATAACGAAGTAGAAATCTTTCTCCGTCTTAATAAAAGTGAACACTGAAGCATGAGGAGGAAAAGTGGTTTTCTCTATGCAGATACTCAACAACTCTTTTAAAAGGTTGCTTTGACTGACCTCTAAGGCTCAATATGGCCCAGATTGAAATGCACCTTGAACTATGTTCCTGAATTCCTCCTGAAATCCATAGTGGGGCACAGTACCTAAGAGCCACAGCATGTATTCCCTTTTCCCTAAGGGTAGAGCTCTTGGAGAGGTGGTTCCCTAAGTACCAATTCCATTGGGACTTTGGGGCACCAAAGTGACATCTTGGATTATTTCCTCTCTAGCTGGCGGTGAGGCAGCAGGCTGCACTCTTAACAACAGCTTGACCAACATCCAGTGGCTTGGAAAGATGAGTTCTGACGGACTGGGCCCCTGCAACATCAAGCAAGAGATGGAGGGAAAGGAGAATCGGCACTTGGAGCAGAGTCAGGACAAGGTGAACTGTTCAGTCACTCGCTAGGGAAATCAGAGCCCATGCAGGGAACTTCTAAGAGGGAAAATGGATCAAGTGGCCTGTGCAGCAGAATTTCCAGGTGCTGCTATTAGCACTTACTTAGTGTAATTCTGTATAGCTTTTGAGCACCATTTCTGCTCCCCAGAATGTACATTTCTGTTACAGTCTTTCTCCCTGATCTGTGAAATTTGCTTAAGGACAGATTCCTCTGACTTGCTGTATTCCATTAGCACTGAGTTTAGTACTCTACCCTTAGTAGGTATTCAGGACACGATGAATAGCTCTTAGTTTGGACAGCCACTTAAACTTTAAAAGAGCAACCCAACAATATGAAAGGAATACAGCATTTTTTTTAAACCATAGTTTTCTTAGAAGAGAACACTAATAGGAAAATAAAGTGAGTTAGATGTGAATTTTAAATTTTTCCCCAGCAGTCAAAATTGACTTGACCCAATTATGTGGCCTGAGGTTGTCTTTCACAGTTGCTACACACCTAGATTCTGTTGTATAATCCTTTTAGTCATTCATTCCACAAACTTTAAAAGTGAAAATTTACATGGATGTGCACATACATAAAAATTGAGCTCTTCACTTAAAACTTGTGTTCTTTATAAAGTTACTTATATAAATATTATAAACTATATATTAATAAATACATATAAAGCTCAATATTTTTATGTTTTAAAGCTTAATATTTTAAAGTGCGAATGAATATTCACATTATATTTTAAAATGTGAATCAGATACTTGCCTAAGATGTAGTCAGATGTGTCCTTTGCAGACATTTTTCTCTCCTGTGCTCAGAAATATTTCTCTCATACAAACATTGAAAGAAGGTGGGTTTATTCATATCACATCAGGAGAAAGAATTGGACTAAGACTGTGGTCCCCAAGGTCTGGAAAATGGGTGTGGTTTTATGTAAAATCAATGTTTTAAGAATCATAACATATAACCAAACTTTTCTGAGAGGTTTCAACTACCAGAAACTAGACACTTATCTTTGGACAATATCTTCAACAAAATGAACAAAGACAGAAAAGTGGTTCTACGTTGTCGGGACTGGACTGAACCATCTCTAAGATCCTTCCTAATTCTAAACTTTTATGCTATGGAATAGTGGTCTCAGATGAGTTTGTTTCTGGTGTGATTTTTATGGGATAAGCAGTATCTCTAGGAACTGTTCTTCCAGCGGGGCTGGAGGAGGCCTTGTGAACTCTTTCATGCCATTCCCTTTTCTCTTTCCCTTGGGTTTCTCACAACCCTCAGGTTGAGGAGCTTCCAGCAGTATCAACATCCTGGCAGGACTCTGTCTCTGAGCGGCCCCCGTACTCTTACATGGCCATGATACAATTTGCCATCAACAGCACTGAGAGGAAGCGCATGACCTTAAAAGATATCTACACTTGGATCGAGGACCACTTCCCCTATTTTAAGCACATGGCCAAACCAGGCTGGAAGGTACTGTGTTCCATAACAACCCAGGTTTAGGTCGCTTTAGCCTGATAGTTTGTCTCCACAGATGTGCAGCACTTTGTGTCTGGTGTGAGGAAGTATTAAATGCGAAGGGTGCTAGAACTATGAACAGTTGTATCTTTTGAATTATGACTTGATCCTGCTGAGTCCCAGCAAAATTGTCGTAAGAGTTCTGCGGCCACTTCATCTGTTACTACCTAAGGTTTACTGTGACTCTTCAATGTAGCACTAAGTCTACTTTTGTGCTACATTGAATAGCAGCTGGAGTGACTAAGTAGCTTTATGAAAAGATATTTTAAAAACAACACTGTCTTTGAGTCTCATGATTCACCTCCTCTACTGTCACATAATATTTCTAGAAGGCAGGGGTTTTTGTCTTCATTTTATTCATGGGAACACAGAGATGCCTGGGAGTCACGGTAGCTCACACCACAATAGCAGAGCCCGCAACTCAGGTCTTCTGACAGATAGTCAGCTCCAAGCCAAGCATTTTTTGTTTTGTTGTCCCCACAGCAGAACTTTTAACTTCACCCACTTACCTCAACTAAATTTCCTAGTTTCTTAATTTCTTTACTCACCTATCTTGCTATTGATTATCACTTCACAGTCTCACTCCTCTTTCCAGTCCACTGACAGCTCTCCAGGTCTTTTCTTTAACATCCACCTAAGAAATGGCATTGGCCTTTATCCCCATGGGATAGAGGGGTTTATGGTTGAGGTGAACAGCTCTGCAACTTAGAGGTCAGGGAGAGAGTTGGACACTTGACAAAGCCGGTACTGGGTACAGAGGATGAGACCTGAGGCTGATTTCCCCTTAGGAAACATCAAAGGTGATATTTCTGACTCTAAAGTAGCTGATAACTGGTTGTCTCTTTTTTCAGAATTCCATTCGCCATAACCTTTCTCTCCATGACATGTTTGTTCGAGAGACATCTGCCAATGGCAAGGTCTCCTTTTGGACCATTCACCCCAGTGCCAATCGGTACTTGACCTTGGATCAGGTGTTTAAGGTGAGTGTCCTGATTTCATCTAAATGGGGTCAGAGTTGGAGGTTGCAAATCCATCTCAGAAGGAAACAATTGGTCCTTGTGATGATCTTATCTGATCAGGGGAGAATTAGAAGTCAGCCGGCCCGTGGGTGATTTGCATAAAACTCTGAATTGAGTACAGTTGAAAAATACCAAATGATACACTTCAGTGCTAGACCAAGCCATGCTTGGATCCAAATAAGAGGACTTTCTGGGGCAGTTTTTCCCTAACTGTCCTGTGGATAAGAGCTGCCTGCGCTGCTTGTTAAAATACAATTCTCAAGCCCCTGTCATGGGGCTTCTGATTTAGTGGGTCTGGGATGGACCCAGAATTATGTTTTTTTAACAAGCATCTCAAGTGATTCTTATGAAGTCTAAGGAACCTTGTTTTTTTTAAGGGGTGGGGCGGGGCAAGCCCTTCTTTAGGCTGGAGACCAGAAACTGAGCCAGCAGAACAACTCTTCAGAAGCGATTGTTTTGGGATTTCAGAATGCCCATAACTGTTCTACTGGGAGGGACAGTTGTCCAGCACGGCCCTCAGCATCAGGCAGGAATAGGTGTTTTTCCCAATGTGGTCAGATTGATTGGCCATGCTGGTGGTAACTTCATCTCATTTCTCTCCCACAATGCCTGACCGCCACAGCCACTGGACCCAGGGTCTCCACAATCGCCCGAGCACTTGGAATCAGTAAGAGTCTTCCCCTCTGGCTCGGGGCTTGGCCTTGTTTTCCTATCACTGCTCAGCATGGCTTTAGTGGACAGGGACAAGACTGTCAGCAGGGGAAGGGAGCCTATGGCCGTGTGACTGCCAACCCTAAATGCAGAGCACCCTGAGCTTCGGGGAGTGGAAATTTGTGACTGCCACCTCATCTCTGGCATGAGCCCTCTTCTCCCCCTCCCACGGCATCATGAAGGCACACTCAGCAGAGTGGGCATGGCGAGAGAACATGCCACGAGTTTGGTATGAGCAGCATCCACAGTGCATGGCATAGGTCTGGTAGGAGGCAATGTGTTCTTTCACTTTTGCCCTGGCTTTTCTTTGCCACTCATAGAGCTACATGCTTCAGCGTCCCCTGGGGGTGGTGAGGACATGTGGATGAGGTGCTGGGACCTGCCACCGTACAGCTGTGTGCTGTCCACCTTTCCCACTCACTGGGCTTTGGTGGCAGTGCTCACCTGCATCTTCCCAGAGCGGCTTTGGTTTCTGGGCTGTCAGGGAGCTCAGTGCATGGTACCAGAGCAGCTGGTGGGTTCTCCTGCCTTCTCCCCTACCTTATTAACTCAGGTTTCTTTCTCTTCCTATCTGCCACACACAGCAGCAGAAACGACCCAATCCTGAGCTCCGCCGGAATGTGACCATCAAAACTGAACTCCCACTGGGCGCACGTTAGTATGGGAGAGTGGGCCTCAGGCCTAATCCTTGTTCTGGGAGCATATGTTTACGGGATCAGACTCCGGGATTCCATACCTAGCTCAAAGGGATCTGAGTCCAGAGGAGAGCACAGCTCCCAGGACTGAGAAGGGATGTGTCCCTGGACCCCTACCCTTTATCTCTCCTATTTCCTTCTAGGGCGGAAGATGAAGCCACTGCTACCCCGGGTCAGCTCATACCTGGTACCCATTCAGTTCCCAGTGAACCAGCCACTGGTCTTACAGCCCTCAGTAAAGGTGCCATTGCCCCTAGCAGCTTCACTTATGAGCTCAGAGCTTGCCCGCCACAGCAAGCGAGTCCGTATTGCCCCCAAGGTGAGTGGCTTCTGTCTTCCATTGAGGATTAAGTGCATTTGGCCCATATCTTATAACTGCACTCTACTAAGTGTTCCTTGAGAAGCTTATAAATCTAGTTGGATAGATAAGGCATAAAAACAAAGGAAAATTTAATAGCATTATGAAAACTAAAAAGGAATCTGGATTACAATATGTGTTCTCAGAAAACCCATACCTACTGATGAGTTTATAAGAATTCAGACAGGGTCATCATGATAGATGGGCTGGGATGGTTAAGGAAGAGTTTTCAAAGGAAGTGGGTCTTAGAAAGAAGTGGATTTGGGTAAACAGACAGGAGGGGAGAGAGTACGGAGGCAGGAAATGCCAGTTTGTACCCAGTAATAGTGGACTGAACTAGTCAGCCTAGCTCAGGGTTTCTCAGCCTTGGTGCTGTTGACATTTAGGGCTGGATAATTCTTTGCTGGGGATGAAAAGGTGCTGTTCTGTGCACTGAAGGATGTTTAGCGACATCCCTTGTCTTTCCTGACTAGATGCCAGGAGCACCTCCCCACCAACCCCTGTGAAAATTAAATTAAAATGTCTCCAGGCATTGCCAAATGCCCCCGGGGGAGAGGTTGCCCCTGGTCGATCACTGGTCTAGTTTGAGATGAAAGTGAACAGGGTAAGTTAAGATCGTATTTTGATGGGTTACCAAACCTGGACCTAACCCTCTAGAGTTTTTGTGAGCAGGAGCTGATCTGTGACAAATTAGGGAAAAGGCTCCACCTCCTTCACTGAGATGGAAGCAGAATGGGCTTTGCAGTTTTGAGAATGGGGTTTGCTTTTTTAAAAAATTATTTTAAAATATACATAAAAGTATATGTACCACCATAGGTAATTTTACACATGTGCATTACTGTGATTGTAGCATGTATATTGCTTTTGTTTTCATGAAGTCATTTTCCCCCTTTTCTTCTCTGTGCTTCCTCTCCACTTCCCCTCCCCCACCTTCACCTACATTACCCCTACTCCTCAAGATAACCCGTGCTGACAGTTTACTATGCTTTCTTAAATATCTTATACATATTTAGTGTAATAAACACATCCATAGCCATAGCCATTTTATATGTACACACACAACACACAGAACATTGAAAATGCTCTTGTATTACAGATACTCTTCTGCCTCATGGAAGTTCTTCCAAGTCACTTGCCATAGCTCTAACTTACTGTCTTTTAATGGTCACATAGTCCATGGTGTGACTATCCCATAATTTTTCCAACCATTCCACTTTTATGGGCACATTTTATTTCTAGTTTTTTATCCCTATGAACAACATTGCAATATATATTTTTGCAACTATTTTCTTACTACTGCTTTTATTTCTATGGGATAGAGTCCTAGACATGAAATTGCTAAGTAACAAGATATTTTAAATTTTACTAAATATTGCTAGGTTGCTTTCCAAAAAATCTGTGATAACTCACATTTCTACCAGCAATATATGGCAAGACCTGTGGCTTTGCTAGCAATTGGTATTATTAATCTTTTCAATATTTGCCCATCTAACATACATAAAATTATTCCATATTTCTTTGCTTATTAGTTAAGTGTGAGCACCTTCTTGTTTGGTTGCTTAGAATTGTTCACTGTGAGATGCTTGTTCATGGACGTTGCCTATTTTTCATTGGGTTTTGTTAATGATTTGTGAGAGTTCTTTGTTATTAAAATGTTAACCTTCTGTCTTTTACGTTGAAGTTGGTTTTTTTTTTTTACTTTTATTGTTTGTTTCTTAACTTGGTTTATAGTTCTCTTGCCACAGTAAGATTTTAAATTTTTATATGGTCAAATATGTCTCTCTTCTCTCTTACAGCTTCTGGGTTTCCAGTCTTGGTTAAGAAGGTCACCCCTCACCCTCAGATTGTACATATAGTCTCCTAGATTCTCTTTCAGGATTTGTATGCTTTTAATTTTTCTTTTGTTTTTGTATATGGTATAAAATAGGCATCGCATTTTGTTTTTTCTCAGATAGATACTTATGCCAGCACCATATTAGGTGCTCTGTCTTTTCCCCTGTAATTGAACTACTACCTTCATCATATATTCTCGTATTTAATAGTTTTTAAGACTTTGAAAAGAGGACTAGTAGCAGCATGTCACTTATTTTGGTCATCATCTTGTGTCTCTCCTGCTGATTGGGTTGAATCTCAAGGCTTCGAGAGCTCTTTTTCACCTTGTCCCTGCTTCCCTTTCAGGTGCTGCTAGCTGAAGAGGGCATAGCCCCTCTGCCCACTGCAGGGCCAGTGAAAGAGGAGAGGCTCCTGTTTGGAGAAGGGCTGTCTCCTCTGATCCCAGTTCAGTCTGTCAAGGAGGAGGAAATTCAGCCCGGAGAGGACACGCCACACTTGGAGAGGCCCGTGAAGGTGGAGAGCCCGCCCCTGATAGAGTGGCCCTCGCCATGCCCATCTGTCAAAGAGGACCTGTCTCAATCCTGGGACGACTCGTCCCACTCTCCCACTCCAAGGCCCAAGAAGTCCTACAGTGGGCTCAGGTCCCCAGCCCGGTGTGTCTCTGAAATGCTCGTGATTAAACGAAGAGAGAAGAGGGAGATGAGCCGGTCTCGGAGGAAGCAGCACCTACTGCCTCCCTGTGTGGATGAGCCCGAACTGCTCTTCTCAGAGGCCCCTGGGACTTCAAGACGAGCCACAGGGCTTGCTCTCCCCTCAGAGTCCTCTGTGCCTGCCTCCCAGTGTGGCTACTCCCAGGAGGAGGGAGGACCTTTTAAGACACCCATTAAGGAGACGCTGCCCACCTCCTCCACCCCAAGCAAATCTGTCCTCTCCCTGACCCCCGAATCCTGGAGGCTTATACCCTCAGCAAAAGTTGAGGGGCTAGATTTCAGCCCAGTACGAACCCCTCAGGGTGCTTTTGGCCCACTACCTGATTCCCTGGGGCTGACAGATCTCAGTACCACCCCACTGAAAAGTATCCCCCTCTTTGACTCACCCCGAGAACTCCTCAATTCTGAACCCTTTGACCTCAATTCTGGCCCCTTCAGCAGCTGTTCCCCTTCAGAGAAGGAAGTCCCCAAGCCAGGCTCTCCCGAGCCACAGGTTGCCAGCCTTTTAGCCAACCGTTCCCTGACGGAGGGCCTGGTTCTGGACACAATGAATGACAGCCTGAGCAAGATTCTGCTGGACATCAGCTTCCCTGGCCTGGAGGATGACCCGCTGGGCCCTGACAACATCAATTGGGCTCAGTTCATTCCTGAGCTGCGGTAGAGACCTGACTTCACCCTTGCACCTCAAGCTGTCCGCTCTTCTGGGCCCTCGTGTGGCTGGGCCATCCAAGGCCTCTGAGTGAGGACAGCAAGCAGGGACCGTCCTTCCGCGCCTCTAGCCCCTGGTTATGCCAAGGCAGGCGTCACACCACAACTGCCACTGGGCCCTCTGCACACATCAAGGCCCTGGTGACTGGACTCTGTGCCACCCTGTGCTCCCCTAGAGAAAATGATTCCTCACACTCCCTGCGAGAGCTGAAGGGTGGGCATAGCAGAAACAAGGATGAAAAGAGGTTAGGAGCTCTCAAAACTATTTGCATTCTGTGCCCAGCAGTCTCATCTTCCCTGCTTCTTGCAGGATGCCCTTGTAAATAGTATATATCCGCCAAACTGTCCTCTAACTTTAAATGTAAACTTATTTCCTTAGATCATTTATCTACAGACTACCAGAAGGTGGGTAGGACGACAGCAGTTTCAGTTTGCCTCTATTCCTTGCTTTGCTTTCAGTTCCTAGAGAAGGGGGGACACAGTGCACGGTTTCCTCCAGGCCCAAGGCACCTGCCTCAAGGCTTTTACTGTATGCACGCAGTCTCCCCATCTTTCCAAGTCAGCTTTCCTACAAGAAGAAATCCTGGTAAAAACATCTCTTGTAATATGTCACGAGTTGAATTCAGGGTGCGGGGTGGGTGCACATGAAGCAGAGTGTGCAGGCCCAGGTGTGTGTCCATGTGCTGTTTCTCTGGTAATGTTCCTAACTTTGCTGGAGAGACTAGTACTAATGAGAATTTGGCCCAAGGCCTGGGAAGGCTAAAAGGGCCCTGGTCTGCCTGGCTTCTTTAGCATGCACCATGGCTTTGCAAAGAGCCACCCTAGGTCCCAGTTGCCCACATGCATGTGAGCCAGCTCAAGAACACTACTGTAACTACTATTCAATAAAATCCAGGGTGGAAATGTCGGCCTCTGTGGTGTGTTGTTCTCTGGTCCCAAAGGCGTAAGAAGGGATTGGAAAAGAATGTGGGTGATAATGAAGATGGTAGAGCAAGGCCTGAAGCCAACATGAAGCACTTGCAGGTGCAAAGGGCTTTAGTGTGGATCACCTCCCACACCCTGCGCAGGCACACAGCCTTTCTAGCACAGAAATTCACAGCTTTCCCATTATTGTTCTTGTACAGCCAGTCCCCAGAAAGAGAAGGGACATGGGGCAGACCTCCCAGAGTATTAGGAAAAGATGGGTCCAGTTACCAGTACCTCATGACCACCTCTACCCCTAACCCAAGTCCTGACAGCCTGCCCTGCTTTTCTTCTCAGGCCTCCCTAGTCAAGTCCCTCCCCAGAAGAGCTCCCACTGCCATCTTTCCAAGTCAGAACTTGTGCCCAAGGGCCTAATGAGCCCTCCTCCCTCGTCACTACCCAGGAAACATCACCATAGCAACCCCAGTAGCAAACAATTGCTGCCAGTAAGGTCTTCCCTACAAAGCTGCCCCTCCTGGTGATCAGGCGCAGAAGAAGAATGGCCTGTAACCCAGGAAGACCATCCAGAGGGCGATGTAATCCATCCCGTGCCAGAGAACCTTTCCTGCAGGTAGGGGGTAGGGCCCTATCTCTGAGACCTACAGTTTTATACCCACACTGGGCTAGTGACTCTCCCCCTGGGGGGTGGGGATGGCGTGCTTTCTCCAGGGCAACAGATCTCCCAGCCTGTGAACTCTGTCTTCCTCTCTTGGTCCTATGGTACTCTGAATACGGAGCTCAGAACAGGGGAGAGGAGATGCCTGGTTATTACATCTCCTGGGCCAACGCACTGGGTAGTCACATAGAAATGATTTAGCGGGCTGGCCCCAAGAAACAGGTGAGTTTTTGGAACAAGAAAAGTCCCAGGAGTGGACGGGAGAGAGAGGCATTTTCAAAGAGTACAATGTCATAATTAGTGCAGACAGATGGCCAAAGTCCCAGCTCTGCCACTTGCTCACTTGGCACTTCAGGTGAGTTATTTACTGTGCCTTACTTTTTGCAGCTTTGAGGTGAGGACCATACATAACAACACCTGCTCATAAGATTGTGAAAATTAAATGAGATGTGGATACGTATTTAGCACAGTGCCTTCATATTTGCTACTATTTATTTCATGGGGGCTAGGGCACAGAAAAGGTAAGGGACCAACAGTCTAGATGCTTTCTATACTTGCCTGTATCTTAATGATAAGCACAATTCACCAATGACAGCAAAACTAGTAACAGGAGGAGTCCACGTAGAAAAGCACAAAGGCTCCATTCTCTGGAGAAAGATTTCCCTTCAGCACTTGGCTTGGCAGGAGGCATTTTTCCACAGGATTTCCTCAGGCCCGATGTGCCCGGTTAGGAGCACAAATTCCTCAGCAGGGATGTAGGGGAACCAGAATGAAGAGGATGGGTGAAGAGTGGGAAAATTCAAGTTGAGGGTAGAGGGTGGGAAATCAAAACCCAAACCTGGTAGATGGAAAGAGAACAAAAGATGAAGGGTCCATGAGAACAATACGGAGTCATAGTAACTATTGATGGGCAGGGCAAGAGCGGAGACCCGGCTCGCTGCCAGGCCATCAGTGTCCTGAAGAGGGTCCTGGGTCTGGAGGAGGCTGGCAGCTTATTTCCTCTGGGGCTGCCCCTTGGAAGGAGAGGCAGAGTGCCCCAGGCTCCCTTTGTCTCTCTCCAGATGGTCCGGGCGAATGAGCCTCTCCCGGCCGACCCCATGTGGGCTCAGCGTGAGTTTCTCCTCCCTGATGAGCCCTGGGAATTGCCTGGCTTCACTCGGCAAGCCTACCACCAGCTGGCCTTGAAGCTGCCACCCTGCACAGACATGAAGTCCAAGGTGCGCCACCGACTAATCCACCCTTGGAAAGGTGAAGCTGAGCACACCTGGGGCTTTCACACGTGGCTTGATGTGGGACACTTGCCTGCCACCTTTCCCACCAGGCCTGACAAACCTTATGATAGCAATGTCTGGCGCTGGCTGACAGACTCCAGGGCCCGCAGCCGCCCCCCAGCAGAGCCCTGCATCCCCCCTCCCTCCTGGATGGGTCAAAACAGCCTTCTGACCTTCATCAGCTGTACTCCTATCTTCTTGGACACGAACAGGAAGAACCAGGTGATTCTCAGGACAGTGAAGGAACTAAGAGAAGTAGAGAAACTCAAGCTGAGGAGTGAAGCAAGGGCACCTCCACTCGACACCAATGGCAACATCCTGCCGCCAAAGGACTTTAAGAAGTAAGAGGTGCTCCTTCCCCAGGGAGCTCACACACTACCCATTCAGGTGACCCCTCCCTCTCTGATTCCTGCTTCTGATATCTAATTGGTACTCTAACCTTCCCACCTTTGGTCATCTGAAGACTAAACTCTGGAGGGAAGGGATGGAGACGAGGGAAAGACAGCCAGGGAAGGGGCTCAATTATTTAACTAAAAATTAGGAAATACAACTATGTACTTAACACCCGCTATAGACCCTGGGGATATAGAGAAATGTCATTCAGTTGATGCCCTTGAGGAGCTTACAGAAGGCAGACACCTATATATATGCATGGAAACACAGCTATCAATGCAAGCTCACGCATGCTAAGAGCTAAGTGTGAGACAAAGAGTGGGTGTTGTGAGGATGTCAGTCATTAATTGAAAGAGCTGAGAGCTGGAGTCAGAGGCTTGGATTAAAGTCCAGACAGTGTTACTTTGGCAAATTGCTAGTTTTTCTGACTCAATTCTATCATTGATAAAACAGGGATGATAAATAGCATGCCTTCCTTAACAGGTGAAGATAAAATGGGTTAATGAATGTATGGAAGCACTAAACAAAAAAAGTAGATGTTATAACAGAAATTCAGAAGAAGGGGGGAGGGAAGGAGGGGTTGCTGTGGGCTGGAGCATCCCCCGAGGAAGGCTTCATGGGTGGGAAGCCTTCAGAAAGGCAGAAAGGAGGGGTCTGAGATGGGAAGGCGAATGCAAAAGGAGCTATTTGGGAACCCTGCAGCTCCCTGCCCCACCCCACCCCCATGGTGGGAACTCACTGGGCATGAGTAGCAGGAAAAGGGGAGAAGAATAAGGATAGAATGTCTCAAATTCCGTTCCCAAGGGCATTAAGAGAAGCATTGAGGAGTTGGGGGTGGAGGGTAGGCTGTGAAGATTTGTAAATTAAAAAAAAAAATGCCAATGACTGGTGATTTTGCCAGATTATTCAGGACCTTGGACTTCTCTCTACTGTCCCTGCAATGAAGATTATTGGGAGCTAATATGCATCAATACTAGGCAGACAAACGTGGATGAGACTTAGATCACTCCTCAAAAAAGTTCAGTCAAATGACAGTGCCAGATGTTCTGTCATTCCTTTTAAATAGTTCTGTAAGGGGTTAAAATGAATTGTTAAAGTGACTCTAGATCCATGAGAGAACACATTCTGAGCATGAGAGACCCAGAGGATTTCAGACAAGGTCTGAGCTGCAAGATACTTATGGTCTTGCTGGGAAATAGAACATTTACATATAAATTCAGCCGTTCTCAACTCTGGTAGTACAGTAGAATCATCTCAGCCTCTGTAGAAAAATGTTGAGGTTTGAGCCCCACCGGGGAGATTCTAACTTAAGTGGCCTGGAGGGCAGCCCGGGCGTGGTATTTTTAAAGAGCTCCTGAGGATGAGTCTGACGTGCAGCCAGGCCTGAGAGCTTCTGCTGTAACCGAAGACAGCAAACAGGGCCTGTCTGCGGAACCGGGTGCTAAACATTTTGAGTCACAAGAAATTGTGCTGCTACTCAACTATGGTTTTTACAAAGTCAGTTTCGCACTGTCTACTCTAACACTACAGGCCTGTAGAAGAGGGAGCCATCGGAGCAGGGCAGAGCAGGAAGGGCTCTTGGATAGTGTCACATTAACCGGTGACAAGAAGGAGCATGTGCGCCGCCTTCATTCTTCTTCCCATGGGCACTGTGTTAGTTGGAAAGGTAGGACTTGAAGAATAGTTAGAGTCTGGATAATGATATTATCTATAATAGGGCAAAAGGATGGAAGATTGACCTGCCGAACACAATTATTCCAGTCTAATGCAAAACATACACAGGGTACAGGCCATTTGGAATAGGTCAATAACCAATTAGGAAAAGAGATGGAAGAGATTCCCTGCAGCCTGATTGCTCATGGCTTATGGAGAGCTGCATCCCGCTGCGCCCTCTCACCCCTCCCACCGTGCCTGATCTCTCCTTTGACCTCCCTGTTTTCTCCGCACCCTCGCCCTGCAACAGGTACCGACACATCTCAGCTGGTGGAAGGTTTGAACCCCTCGGCCTCCAGCTCCTACCCAACCCAGTTCCCAATGAGTTTGCCAGGAGCTGGCCCTGCCCGAACCCTCTGCCTCATTACCAGGAGAAGGTGCTGAAGCTGGCCTTGCTGCCAAGTGTGCCCCTGAGACAGGACCTCGTGAGGAATTACCAAACCCTGATAGAGGACCGCATTGCCTTGCCCCTCCATTATCTCTCCAAGGCACAGCCCAGCAAAGCTGTTTCGAGAAAGAGAAAGAGAAGACCTGGACACACCTAGGAAAACCTCCAGACAGGTGGGGACTGTGGTGCACACACGGAGCCCTAGGTTCCAGTGTTCTCAACCAACGTACCTTACACAAGAAGACTTTGAGGTGGCTGAAGGACTCCGGCTTCTGCAGAACAGAGCCTCTCCACCATCTCCCCATCTTCAAGCCACCTTTGTAGCCCAGGCTCCTTGAGACACTACTGAAACTCTAAGTTGTTATGTCTTCCTTAGAGGGCTCTCTCATAGCAAGTGGGAGGACTGGGGGTGGGGAGTGGGGGGATCAGAGCGGGGATCTCGTTCCTAGGGACAGAACGGAGAATGGGGAGGAGGAAGGTGTGAGATGGGGGAGGGTTGGGAGGAAGAGGCACTGTAAGAAATGTGGGTAAGAAGTTACCACCACTCCCATAACCCACCGGAACAAGACTGGAATTGGTCAGAGTACAGGAAGATTTTAGGCAAAAATAACTTCAATTCTACCCCTCCATGGACAATTTGATGTCTAGACAAAGCCCAGAAGAAACTCTATTGGGCTGTGGGTCCTACACAGGGCTGTGGGAGCAGAGGTCAGGCCAAGACTGGCGCTAGGGGATGGCAGAGTCAAGTCTGAGGAAGGCTGACCAGGTCTCCTGCAAGGGACAGGAGAAGAACAAGGTAAAGGTCAGAGAGGTTCCCCTGGAGCATTACGTTAGGGCCTTGGGCCTGTGCTGCAGTTGACCCCAGGTTCCTCAGCTTTTACAATGGGGTGCCAGGGACAAGTGGCCTAAAATGGAAGCAGACAAACCACATCGGTCAGAAAGGTACTGACCCAGGTTGGGTGGAGATTAGGTGGGGGAGGGCCTGCAAGAGACCTGGTAGAGGTGGCATTGGGGAGGCAGCTGGCAGGCCTCTGAAGAGAGAGCCACCTCACCTCTTCTTGTCCCCATCAAACCCCAACTTGGAGATCTTCTCCAGCTGGGCTTCTCTTGGCCTCTTCCCTGCTGCCTCTTTGTCTCCACTTTTCTCAAGGCCTGCAGACACCTGAGAATCAAAACACCACAGGGTTCTAGTCCTTGTTAACTATCTACTAACCAGCTACGTGACTTTTGGGAAGGTGGTTTTTCCCCTCAGGTTTTCAGTTTTTTCATCTGCACCTAGGAGCCACTAGGATGTAAAATTGTGGAATAAGTAAAATCATATAAGTGAAGTCCCTGCAAAGTGTCTGGCGCATTGTAGACCCTCCATAAATAAAGCTATGAACCATTACCCCTAGATTAAAAGTAAAAAATGAATGGAATATTATTCATTCATAAAAAGGATTGAATTACTGATCCATACTACAATGTAAATGAAACATCGAAACATTGTACTGCATGAAAGAAGTGAGAAAAGGCCACCTATTGTATGATTCCATTTATATGAAGTAACTAGAATAGGCAAATCGATAGAGACAGAAGGTAAACTGATAGTTGCCAGGTGCTGGGAAAGGGGAAAATGGAGATTGATTGTTCAGTGGGTTTGGAATTCTGGGATGATGAAACTAGATAGAAGTAGTGGTGACAACATCATGAATGAATGAAATGCAACTGAATTGTGTATCTTAAAATGGTAAATTGGATGTGTATTTCATTTCAATTAAAAATAATTTTATGCCCTGGATGGTGTGGCTCAGTGGATTGAATGCTGGCCTGTGAATTGAAAGGTCCCTGGTTAGAGTCCCAGTCAGGGCACATGCCTGGGCTGCAGGCCAGGTCCCCAGTAGGGGGCACTCGAGAGGCAATCACACATTGATGTTTCTCTCCTGCGCTTTCACCCTCCCTTCCCCTCTCTAAAAACATAAATAAATAAAATCTTTAAAAAATTTTTTTAGAAAAAGAAAAAAATTTAATAAATAAGGTGTGTCTAGAGAGTTTCCAAATTTCCTTATAGTTCCAAACCTATGACTGTATTCAACCGTCCTTCTCTTTGCCACCTTTGTCTGTGGACTGTGTATGGGGTAGGTGGAGAGGAGCCGGGGTGAAGGAGAATTTCCTGAGTACTCCAGGGAGGTGCAGGGGCTCTGGGAATAGGCTCATTCTCCCAACTTTGGATTGGGAATGGTAGTAGAAAGGATGAGGTCCCTTTACCTAGGATCCTACCATGTCAGAGCTGGGTAGGTCATTAGAAAACACCTTTTCACTCTGGCTGGTGTGGCTCAGTGGATTGCGTGCTGGCCTGCAAACCAAAGGGTCACCCGGGTTGCAGGCCAGGTCCCCAGCTGAGGGTATGTGAGAGGCAACCGACTGCTGTATCTCCCGCACGTCAATGTTTCTCTCCCTCTCTTTCTCCCTCCCTTTCTCTAAAAATGAATAAATAAAATATTTTTAAAAATTAAAAAAGTAAAAGAAAACACCTTCTCACTGCTTAGAGGGCAAACAAAAGCCCACTGGAGAAATCACTAGCTCCAGGATACAAACACAGGCCATCCCTTGCCCCCTGGTGGTAGGACTGGAGGCCCAGGTCTGCGCTCTAGGACTCCAGGGCCTGTGTTCTCATCCTGCTTCTACTTGCCCACAAGGCCAGGGTTTTGTCGCCTCCACAGTGACAGGCCTGGGAGATATTTAGAGGGTTAATATGAAGACTTGGGGGGTGGAAGGAAGAAGGCCATTGGAATTCTTCAGAGAAAGCCACCCACTCTCTGCCCTGGAGCTAATGGAGAGCAGAAAGGTAAGCTGCACTTACACAGACTTGGGCCTTGGCAGAGCCAGACCACTCCTGAGGCTGCCAGCCTCCCATCAGAAGGACTTCCAGCTCCGCATTTCCCCAATCACTTTCCTGTTCTGCTTTGCTCTCCAAACAGCAGCCTCCTTCCTGCTGGCAGGTGGACTCCAACATCATCAGGGATTCTCTCGTCTAGTGGCCAGCCAAAGATATGTAAGACTCCTGAAATTCCTGACCACCAGTGGGCCATGGAGATCATGAGGGACAAGAATAGCATCCATCCATATGTCCTCCTGGGCCTGAGGACTTTTGTATGGCAGTTCCCAGTCCAGCCAGCCAGCAACCATGAACACCACCCCCCGCCCCTGCCCTCCTGCATACCCTAATGGATACGGAATTCTTAAAAGCCTTTGGTAGGGTGGAGATGGGGATCCCTGTAACTTGGGTCTGCCTTAAAGATCTTTTGAGAGTGTATCTGAGAAGGTGGTGGGAATGGACCTCCCCCCTGCCCTGATATTCAGCACACAAAACATTCTGTATTGTGCTGAATGCCACCAGCTTCACAGACCCTAACTAATCCCAGCACAGAGGCTTTTTAAGCCACTTTTGGATCAATACCTCCCCTTCTGCAACCTCACTTTCCCTAAGCCCAGGATTAATTTCATGAGCTGGGTTGCTGAGGCCAGTTCAGGTTCCCGTGCTGCTGAGGGCTTAAGGAATGGTTGGGGATCAGTGAGTGTTAGAATCTGTTGGGGGCTAGGAACCCCTAGGAGAGATGCAGAGCCAGCCACTTGGCCAATCATGACCTTCAGTCTTCATCTGGCTGTCTCCCATCTAAATGTCATGCCTCCAAAATCCCCATTGCTGCTCCCTGAGATGACAATCGGAGCCAAGGTCCTCTCTCCAGCCTGCCCAGACTCACTTCCACATTCCCCAGGACACTCTGACCTCTTGTTTCTACTCATCAATGACTTGCTTGCTCAAGCCCTTTGTCTTCATGCTTCTCTTCCACCTTTGAGCTCTTTCGTGGTTGTCCTGTCCACTGAGCCACATACATTTACTCTTTTAATCACTCCATGCAAGTAATTGCTGCAGCCTATTACTGTATTTAGTGGTTCTGTGCCTGAGTGGTTGCTCATCTCAGGTTAGTCTCCAGCCAACACACTCTTTGCAGGCCCCAAGACGGTCTCTCACAAATGCTATGTGCTTGTAGGGTGGTGCTGCTGCATCTTCTGCTTCAAAGGTAGAAGTTTTGATGTGACCCCTTTAGCCCACCTTCATTTTCATCAGATGTTCACTGAACAGTGTGGCACTGGGTATCATGACATGGTTCCTAGAAAACAGTCAATGACTTCTTTAGCATGAGCATCACCTGAAAGTGGAGATCATGTCCAGAGGTGCAAAAGGCAGGCCCCAGCTTAGGCAAGGATGGAAATTGAAATAGGAAAGAAAGTGGATAAATGCATGCGGGAGGAAGAGAAATGCTGATGCCCAAGGAGAGGCAAAACAAGAGTCTCTATCAGAGCTCAGAGGTCCAAAATGTTTGGAAAGAGTTGGGCAGCTTTGCCAGATTCTCTGAGGGCACTTGCAGGATAAAGATTAGGGTACAGAGCCCGGGGGCGAAGGGGCACACAAATTATCCCCATGGGTGAGAAGGAAGAGGGATGAGTAGAAAGGGTGATTGCCCCTGACTGAATGCCTATGGCATCAGCTGGATTCTGTGACTGCAAAAATCAGACAGGGAGCACAACAACACGCTGTTCCAGTGTCTCATCATCTCAGTAGCTGGGGAAACAATGGCCTGTTTCCTCCTGCGTCCCCTGGAGTCCTGCTGAACAATTCATTCAACAAATTTTGTGTAAGAAGAGAGAGAAGAAACACACATACACACGTGCGCGTGCATGCATGTGCGTGCACACACACACCTACCCTGATAAAGCCGAGGATCTGGTGGGAAGACGGACAAATAATTAAAATAGGGTGAGAAATAATGTAATAGATACCTGATCCAGTTGTCTTATGAGAACAAAGGGGAGAGACATGCATGTGTGCATATGCGCGCACGTGTATGTACAGTTCCCAAATAACAGCCAATGTTTACTCAGCACTTACTATGTTTTATAAAACATGTTGAGAGTTTTTCATGTGTCACCCCATTTAATCCTCACAACACCGTGAGGTATGTCCCATTATAATCTCCATTTTGTAGATGAGTAAACGGAGGCACAGAGAGCTCTTAATCATTTTGCTTCTGCTTCTCATTTACACGTCACAGCCATTCTACAATGACATGTTATTTCAGTTCGACAGATGAGGACATGGATTTCAAAGGATTA